ATAAAGGCTATCCATGAAAAGCCAACAGCCAACGGCATACTAAATGGTCAAAAACTGAAAACCTTCATGCTAAAATCAGGAACAAGTAAAGGATGTCCACTATCACCACTCCTGTTCAATATAGTTTTTGAAACATTAGCCACAGCAATTAGAGAAGAGAAAGAAATAAAAGCAATAAAGATAGGCAAGGAAGAAGTGAAACTGTCACTATATACTGATGATATGACACTCTAGATAGAAGAACCAAAGAACTCTGCCAGAAGACTTGATTGACAGATTGAGCAGAGTAGTTGGATACAAAGTAAATACTAAAAAATCAATAGCCTTCTTGTACACAAATGACAGACTCACTGAGAGAGAAATGAGGGAAATGAGTTACTCTTAAAAGTTAAGCATATAGGTATGTTTTTCTGTGAAATACTTTCACTTTTATGGTATTTTATTGTTTATTAAAACATATACACATAAACACACAAAAATAAATAGGGAATGAAAATAGGAGAGAGAAAATAGAGAGAAAAAGAAAAGAAGAACAGATGTATCACTTATAGAAGACAAAATATATTTATATATTTGGCTTTTTAGTAAAACCATTATGCTATAAAAGTTTTTAAGTGGGAGGGACATGTGGGGGATTCAGAAAAAAAAACTAATATGCATGTAACCATTACCCTCCATGACAGGAAATTGCATATAATTGCAAATATGCACGAATAAAATAAAGTAAAAAATTTTCAAAGTTTTTAAGTGTATTGTCCAAGTGCATCAAAAGAGAATGCCTTTCTCAAGAAAACATTCACTAAGCTCAATGAGATGGAATCTTACAATACTGAGAGACTAGGTTCTTTTCTTAGAACGTAGATTTATTCATTTTTATTCTGAGCCAAAACTCAAAAAACTCTGAATCATATATTCTGTAAAAAAAAAAAAGTACCAGAAACTCTTGGACTAAGGAAATCCTGGGGGCACTGACTGTTTGTTATGCTGGGTTCTGAGAGAAGACTTTCCTTGGTTGCCAGAAAGTAAGGAACTGCACCTTTAGTGGCCACAAAAGCAGGAATATAATGCTAGAGTCTATGGCCTGGGCATAGCATTCAAGCTTGCACCTAAAATTCTTTATCTCTGGTCTGGACATAATTACAGTATTTAATACACAGTTACAGAGCTGGTCAAGCTGGTTCACCAAACATCCTGAGGAAGATGGACAGAAAACTCAGAGATTATTGATAAAGTTTGATTGGGGAAATGTATCCCAGATTATGTGCATACCACAGTGAGGGGCTTGATGGGTTAATATGAGAAAACTATTTGCTTGAATATTTTAGTCCCTGACTATACTGTTTAAATTTTGCTTTAGAAAGACCCCCCTGTAGTATGCTTAATTTTGTTGAACTCTGGAATAGAGAAAATCAAGAGAGTGACAGTTGCAGTTATTTTGTAATTATATTAAGAGTATTTTCTATTTTGGGTTTTTTTAATTCATAGATTTTTAAGTGTTTTTAGACCTAACATCTGTTGAATTAAGCTAAACATGAAAATGTTCACTCCATAAGAGCTGGCCTTAACTTTATGCTACACCACTCTTATAAAAATCTAAAACAGTGAGGACACACAGGAAACGAAACAGTATTACATTTTGTGTTATATATATATATGACAAATAACTATACCAGAAAAAAATAAAATAAGTATTTTAATTTTTTAAAAAAAATTTTATTGAGTTTATTGGTACATTTTAGGGATACAGTACAGTTACATTCATTGTTGGGATCATGTACCTTTACATGGCAAGTCTTGATTCTCATTTTTTCCCCTTACCTCTGCCCTCCCTTCACCCCCTCCTCCCCTCCCCATCTACAAACACTTTATTTTCATCTTTTCATTCTCTCACATTTTTTTCTTTTCCCTTTTTGTTCTTCCCCTACGCATCACACCTTCCCTACACCTTTAGCTCCTTTCTTCAAATTTCTAAATGTAAGTATTTTAATTTTAAATCACAATTAAAACATTCGATCTTGCATACTGACAATGAAAACAAAGAATTTAATTGTATTACAAGTTTTACTTTTTTAATTTAAAATATCCCATTTGAACTTCTAAAGTTCAAAATTGTAGGAAATTTCTCTAGTATAAAGTCTAATTTTTGAGCTATAAAATGCTTTCCACCGGGATCAGCAACTCAGTGCCTAATTGTTCATCTATTATTTTAAGTTTAAAAATAAGTTTAAATTTAAAAATAGTCTCAGAGAACACATATTTATCCAGATACAGAAATGGAAAACATTTAAAAAAATTATTGTTCCATTTTGAGGAATAACCCTAATGGAGTTTTGTACAGATGGGATAAAGAGACATAAATTACAATGTAGGATATATCATCACACAGTTTTGATTTTGTGCATAAATGATGAACTGTTAAAACATGCTAGCCTGCTGATGGTTAATTTTAAAAAGAAATAAAATAGATGATAGTTTAGAAATGGGAACAAAGGAGCTAAAGGTGTAGGGAACATGGGATGGGTAGGGGAAGGGTAATAAGGGAAAAGAAAAAAATGTGAGAGAATGAAAAGATGAAAATAAAGTGTTTGTAGATGGGGAGGGGAGGAGGGGGTGAAGGGAGGGCAGGGGTAAGGGGAAACAATGAGAATCAAGACTTGTCATGTAGAGGTACAAGATCCCAACAATGAATGTAACTGTACTGTATCCCTAAAATGTACCAATAAACTCAATTAAAGCTGAAAAAAATAGATGATAGTATTTGTTAAGTGTTTTTATGTAAATTTCCTTTAAAAAATAAGACTCAGAGGTAGAATGATTTTTTTATCAATGTCATTGTTTTGTTAAAGAAGTATAAAATTTAATCTTCTTCCATTCATCTTGCTTAAGATCAACCATATAAAACCATATCTCCAGATCATGGTCTTATTGTTCTTGCTACATCTCAAAAAAAGTTATCAGAAAATTGAAATTTTATGTAATTAAAAGTAAATTCTATAATTCTCTATAGCACACTACATACAAAATGCTACATATTTTCACAGAAAATGTAATTCTGACCTAGAATTATTCTTAACTTTCTTAAGAGGTTAGCACTTTGCTCTTCCTGATTTAGTCAATGATCTGTTTTTTTTTGTTTTTGTTTTTGTTTTTTGAGAAATTCAAGAGCGCCTCAATCTAAACTGTACGTAGTGAAGTTTTGGACCTTTTGGCAGCCTTGGAAATCTATGACTATTTCAACCATTTTTTTAGGGCTGGAGATTTAGCTCAGTGGTTCCACCACCTTCCTCGCCCTCTCTTTTTTGTTCTTGTTTGAATTCTAAATTTTCATTGCACCATTAGTCATTTAAACTTTTATCCTAATTAATTAAAAATATATGATTACATTCAGAGAATCCAAGCTTGTTCATTACCTCAATTTTTGAATGCATCATAAAACATATTCTCAGGTCTATGGCAGAAAGACCATGTTGATTTTTGACTCACTGAGCTAGAGAAATCACAAAAAGTGTGTGTGGGAGGAGGGGTAGCATACAGGATCTTTTCAAAATAGCAAACCCAAAACAGTATCCTATTTTGGGGAGAATTACAAAGTTTTCACCATATTAAGTACTTGAAAAGTTGGAGAAATGTGAATTACTCTCACATCAAAATGAAAGTAGTGTATTTGATAAAGTTTTGGAAATTACCATGAGTTACTACTTATCACTTTAGTTTTGATTCCAAATTTAACTATCGTCCTGCATGTTATCTTCTCATTAAGCCAAATTAAAAGAGATTTTGATATTTGGATGGATTATAGGTATATTATTTTTCTATACCTCTGTTAAAACCACAAAAAAGCATTTGGTTTAGACTCACTGAGATAGCAGATTATATTTTTGGATCAAGGATAAACCAGCTCTCAAATTGTCTCTAAAACTATAGCCTTCAAGAACTTTTATCATTTCCCTATGTACATAATAGGCTGGTCTTCTATACTGATAGTATAATTCTGTTGAATTTGTGGAATAAGAATTAAAAATATTCTAAGTATTTTGCAAAATATATGCCAGGAGATAACCAATAAATATGAAATTAAAAAACCCACCATCTGGTAATGTTTGCTAGGATCATGAAGGCTGAAATGTATCAAGAATTCAAAGTGAATTAGATATACTTTTCTTCCACTAAAGGAAGAACAATATTTGATGTGATTCTGAATTTTAAAAGAATCCTCACTTGGGCACACTTTAAGGTTTTCATTCCTCTATCTATTTTTTAAATTATTTGTAATACTTTCTGTGTTGAGTGGTACCTAGAATCCGAGAAAGTTATCAAAGAGATACAGGTTGCATGAAAATAAAAAGCTACGGAAGCCTCAAGTAAGAGAATAATGGCCAAGAGTCTCACAATTTTGGAGAAAATAGATGGCCACTTCAGATTTTACTCTTATATTTTGAGGAAAAAAAAGCAGCCTCTTTTTACCATTTAAGAGGCAGATTTAATGCTTGATAAAAAATCAGATAGCCTGATATCTATATCAATATGTGGAGATTATTTAGCCAGTCAAACTAGAAAGTTGTCCATGCACAGATATAGTCCAACTTTAGATGGTTTTATCATTAACACATAGGACTGAAGTCAGTACTAATGATAAAACCAAGTAGAAATAATAAGACAAAAATAGGCTCCCAGTACATCTATTTCTGCTATATTGACATAAATCCCTGGATCTTTATTCATGACAGTAGGGATTTCTGTTGAAAGTAGATGAAATAAATAAAAGATAGAAAGGTGCATGTGATCATTAATTATGATATGTCAGCTGGAAGTAAGCCTGGCTCCCCTAGCAGATCAGTAAATTCTCAGATTGTCTGCAGATGTCTGAAACACAGATCAGCAAACTGAGGAAGGAGAAACAACCATATACGAAGATGACAGCAACCCATAGGCTTGTTGCTTGGACAGAATAAAAAGGGAAAAGAAGAAGGAAATTCTTGTTTGATAAGAAGAGCTCCAACCTTTCGATTTGAACATCGGTCCAAATTCCTTCAATGTTTCGGTTCAGACTCTTCAAGTCTTCCAACAGAGATCCCTCCCGGTACCTCTCCGGTGAGCTTCCGGGTCCTCACCCTGCGCCTTCTCCTGGATCCTCTGGATCTCCAGCATGCAGTGTCCCGTTTTGGATTCTTTCGCCTCTGATCCTGTAGATGAGCACTGCGATCCTTCCATCCCCGATGCTGAGGGCCTAGTGAGTGAATCCTTTTATGTTGATTCTGTTCTTCTAGTGTTCTTCTGTTCTCTCACAAGGGCACTTCCGGATGACACTGTACGTGTGGAAATATCACCCGGCAGGGGCAGGCTGCTTTGTGGCTCCCCTTGAGCATTTTCCTATGGGAGGATGCACAGGGGAAAGGAGTTCAACAGCCGTACTTGTGAGGGGGCATCTGTTTAATCACATCTGTTTAAAGTAGAAATGACCAAGGCTACGAGCCAACAATTATTTCTGACAGACTCTAGACATTTGTCCAATTAATTGATGATCTTGCAAGATCAGTTTAGAAAGTGGGGGACATGAAAGACTGGGAAACAGACTTGTCGATGGACACGTGAAATGAGCGAGGGTGAAAGGGTTTTCTGATCCTGTGCTCGTGCTCACTCAGGCGTTCATCGCCAAGGATTCTCCCCATAATTAGCAGTTCGAGATAACATTGTGCTTGGGTGGTGACAGTGAGGCCCTTTCTCAGTCTTCTATTGTCACCTATGCCCACATGAATGACGTGGGCAGAAGGACGGATAGAGTTGTGAGGCCAGAAGGTTTCTGTGATATCTGACCTGTCCAGCCATTGCAGAATCCGATATGCTAATTAAGCAACACTTCTGAGGAAGACTAGCCAGCCTCCCAGTGGCTACTTTATTATAAAAGATCTCATAGTGCACTATTGATTTATTTTCACTGGGAAGAGTATTTCTTGTGCACAAGTATCTGGCTTTCTTTTTGCAAGTTGTTCCTCCTATCTTTCCATTTTCTAAAAGAAAATATTTTACTTATTGTCATATTTTCCACATAACGTTATCTTTTACTAAGGAGTGCTTTTAAAGAGAGAAAGGTTAGTTTGGACCCACGTTCTGTCTGCATCTCCATATATTATAGGCATTTTAGATTACGCTGATCACATATATTGTTTTAAATTTTGCTCTAATCTGTAAACAAGAAGGTATGATTATAAGAGTTAAACATTAAGACTTAATAAACTCTGCCTACAATTTACTTCCCCTAAATTCTGTGAGATTTACAGCTTTTACTCTGATTTTCTTTAGGATAAGTTTAGCTTAAATCTAGTATGAGGGTAGGTACTGTATAGCACTCAACTTTATTGCCATTTTCTGAATTGTAAAATGAATAACCTTTATAAGTTATATTTCATAAATATTTTAGAAACCTGAAAATAAAATCCAGAAGAAAATATGGTAATTGACCACCAAAATTTAATTGATACAGGTGAACAAGTGCATCTGCAAATACATACTTTATTTTATTTACATTTAAAATATAAGAGGGCCAGGGATATAGCTCAGCGGTTCGGTGGTCTGCCTCGCAAGCACAAGGACCTGAGTTTGATCCCCGGTACCCCCCAAAAATAAATAAAATAAAATAAAGAAAATGGAAAAAGCTGCACATGGTGGTTAATGGTTCCAATACCTGAAGTCTGGAAGCTGAGAAGGAAGACAGCAAATTTGAGTCCTAGCTACATAACAAGACCCTGTACAAAAGTATGTGTGGATTAAATAAATGAGGCCAATTTAATTTACTTATATTTTTCACATTCTATGTAAGTTACATTTGTTTAAAAATGCTCTGTAAGATAATTTAATTGAAAAATTGGGCTCAGATTCCCAGGAAAAAGAAATGATAAAAAATATTTTTTTGCCTTATCAATTTATCTGCAACTGAAGATACAAGGTTATCTCCATTATCTCTGGTGTGAAAAGTTATTTCTATCAGTTTTGAAATTGACTGTGTGTGTCTTTTCCTATAAGAAATGTAAAACCTGATTTTATTGAAAATCTTGTGGAACAATAAGTATATTAAGGATCTCAATTTTTTTTTCCACAGCTACATCCGATGTCAGACTTGTGGCCAGAGAAGATATCTTTTAAAACATCCTGTCCATCATCCATTATAAAATTGTTAGACTGAAAACTTGGGTATCTGAAGTCTTAGAGGAAACATAGATATGTTTTCAGTAGACTGTGATTACCTTTAGATTTTATTCAATTCTTTAAACTCCCAAAGACATTTTTAAAGTACTGAATAGTCTGGAAACAAAAATATTAGTCACATATTGTTTTCCATATGGAAGGGCATTCAAATCTACAAAAGATCCCGTATTCTAACCAATGTTAAAATCTGTGTGTTTGCCCTTTTGCTTTCAGTTTTGACTGTCCACAATTGCTTCTTTCTCACGAGTCTTATAGACATCTTTTTCTCCAGTCTTCACTCACACCTATCTCCATCCGTCCAACCTTTCCTTGCTTATTTAATTGGAGTGAAAAGCACTTTTCTTGACAGCGCATAAAATACATGATATAGTTCATATATGGGAATAACAAAATTTTATTTTAAAATACTGTTGTTCTAATGTTAACACGAGGGCGAATAAAAAGCCTGGCTGCATATTGGACATGAGTCTTCCTCTTGTGCTCGTGTCTTTCCCTTCTGCTCTCTTCACACAGAGGATCTTCCTTAGGATCAACCCAGAATATTGTAAAATCTGGGAAAAACTTTAACTCTCATTCAGATGCATTATTACATTGACTTTTTTTCTTTAAACTTTCCATCCTTCCAGGTCGGGGATTTAGCTCAGCAGTTCGGTGGCCTGCCTAGCAAGTGCAAGGACCCGAGTTCAATCCCCGGTACCAATAAATAAACAAACAAACAAACAAACTTTCTATCCTTCCAAAGATAGAACAATCTGTGTAACCCAGGGCAGGCATCTGTCAGTGATGAAGCACAATATCTACACTCTCTAATCCTACTAGTTCTCAAATCTAACATGGTAGTATATTTGGAATAGTGCAGGGTAGACACCAAAATAAATATTGGAAATCGATATTCTGGTAATTGTGTCTATCTATCTGCTTATCCATTTATTTATATTTATTTATTTCCATTTAACCACCTGTATTAGTCACTTTCCTTTACTGAGACAAAACACCCAACACCTGCAAATTAAAGGAGGAGAGGCTTATTTTGGCTAATTTCTGTGGTTTCCTTCCATAGCTTGCTAGTTCTGAGGTAGGAAAGGCATGGAGAAAATGTAAATTGGAGGCAAGTTGCTCACCCCAAGCAAGATAATTTCTGTGGTTTCCTTCCATAGCTTGATAGTTCTGAGGTAGGAAAGGCATGGAGAAAATGTAAATTGGAGGCAAGTTGCTCACCCCAAGCAGGCCAGGAAGCAGAGAAGAAGGAAGCAGGTGTGGATGAGAAGATGCCCTTTGGGTCATCTTCCCCAGGGGCCACCTCAAAACAGATCCCAGCTCTGATCAAGAGACTTCAGGGTGGCATTTTAGCTCTAAACCACCACACCATCCAAGACGATATCTAGATAAATCCATTTTTCCTTAAAACATCAAGAACACCTTGTGTTCTAATGGAACATATATTTAAATGTTTTCTGTTTTAAATATCCTTGAGCACAAGATTCCGAGTTCAATCCCTGGTACCACATACATATATATTTTATAAATGGAGAAATACATTCAAATTTGCAACAATGAAGACTCAAATTCAGTCATAATTAATGTATTACTTCATATTTACAATACTAACCAAATAACTATGAGATATTTGTATTTGCATTTCTTTATTTTTCTTCACTTCTCCTGTTATATGCTTTTATGCATATTACCTTTTTTTCTGTATTACTTTTTATATTTTAATCCATGTAAAATTTTCATAATGCATTTCATATACAAATATATATACATCATATACATGTATAAATACAAATGTATGCAACTATACATTTCAAAATTTATTTAATTGCATCTTTCCAATTTATACTTTATTTTTTTCAAGCTTGGTTACCTTTTAGTTTTAGTTTTTTTATTTCTTTGTGTGATAATAGAAATAAATCAGAATCTGGAGGATGGGGTAAGAAAGAGGTGAGGGAGTGGAAAAACAATTAAGATGTGCAATGTGCATGTACAAATTCTTTATAATGAATGTAAAAAGAAATCCTTGCATTGAAATGTAGGGATGGAATGATATACTTAAGTAAAAAAGCTCATATAGTGTAACCACCTTTACAGCAAAATTTAGAGTGGTAGGTAATGATAATAACAGATAATAGGAAATAGGATAATAGAATGTTTGCAAAGAGAAAGCAACTAAGAGATGGAGGGAGGGCATTTTAAAAAACCAAGATGTAGTAGGTATGTCAACTCTCCAGATGAGTACGATCATTATGCAATATGATCATATGCAAATAATATGTACTAAAAAATTTTAAAATAAAAATACACCACCAAAATGCAACTAAAATATACACAAATAATCTTGAAAATCTAGTTAATATGATGACAATTTACATCTGTACATAAAATTTACAAATAAAGAAGTCTAGAAATTAAAACAAATTTATATAAATACAGCAATAAAGCTAACAAAATTACAGGAACAGATTTGTCTTATTATTCTCACACAGGCAAATATAAATGTGAAAGACGCTCAGAAATGTCAACGCCAATGGACATCTTATCCAATTACAGTGCAAAAGCAGAATCAGAACAAATTAAAGTTAGAAATGGCAGCAGATGAGCTTTCTGATCAATCATGATGAAACAATTAAGTATACAAAGACTTAACAGCCGTTCTTTCACACTATGCAAAAATAATCAACCTAGATGAATTTCATAGTTAAATAGAAAGACTTAAACCATGGAGACTTTAGAAAAGTCCATAAGAGAATATTTTTAATTTCTTGATTTAAAAATAGTATGTAAGAGAGGACTCCCCCAAAAGTAAGATCATGTTTTAAAATAGCCAAATAACACATAAAATTATACACATTTATTAGTATGATACCATACACGTATACAATGTATAATGGTCTTGAGTTAAGTATCATAATCATCACCTCAAACATTTAATCAAAATAGTTAAACAAAAGGATTTTGCATGTGCATGCCACAAAGCTTTAGTATTGGGCTCACACTAAGGTGAAAAATTACATTTTGTGAAAAAA